CCGCAGAAAGATTCGTTTTTCTTTAGACCACACCCCCCATTTTCCAGACGAAAATGATCGGTAGCATGTTACATTATATCCGGGACGCACATTGAATATTCAAAAGCGCGATATTCAGCGACGCCCGAAAAATATTCCACATCTTTGACATCGACGTTGACGATGTGCTTTATTTATCATGTTCTATTTCCTACAAATATATATTTCTACATTCGATCTCATTTTAATAAAAATGTAAATGTTAATTGTGTTGTAAACATTAAAAAAATATTTTAAGTATTAATTTATACGCAGAACAAAAGAAAAACGTTTTCTTTCTCGGCTGAATCATCAATAATTCTTCTATCTATGTTATCGAGAACATGTAATAATATTTATTATTGAGAATTGATGATGATGTCTCGTTGCAACATTTAGTCTAGGCCTATCAATAAAAATTCAATAAATCAATCAATCAAAATGATGAGCAGTGCGTATCCGTTCAGCAGAATGAGTTTGCCATTATATTGTCGGATATAATGTTCACATTATGCTCAGTTAGAGTGCGAGACATTTGGCCTCTGTATGTGTACCTGGTTATAAAAGAGTTTGCCATCAACCAGACGTTCGCATCAGATATTACCGGTGTTTTTGATAGATTACTAATCATAGAAGATACATGTGGCTCTCGTCTTCTTGCATCATTTTAAACATGCCGATCGTAAACATCGTCAGATTTTAGATCGCACATTAAAACGTACAAGTATCGTATAAACACGGCAATATGTGCGACTCTTTTATGCAACTGTCGATATATTGGTAACTCTTCAAGCTTAAATCAACTTTAAAAACTTCAAGAACTTAATTAAAAATCTACAAACGATATGAAAATTTTCCGCACTCGTTAGGAAAAGATCATAAAAACATATTAGATTAAAATCGTGTATGCACGCGCGAACATTCACTGACGAGTTCATTAACAAACTAATTACATCTTATCGCGCGATCAAGGAACTTCGATCACATTTATCATCCTAATGCTTGTACTTGTAGATATTATCAATTATTAGACAAAAGTATTTTTTCTCTCTCAAATACATATAATAAAATTAATTTCTAGTGCTAGATTTGAATTCCTATCGATCATCCTTAATTATTATATATAAATTTATTTGTATATTGTATAATATATAAAATTATATATAAAAATATTATATAAAAAAATACGTAAAATATATAAAAATAACTAAGGTTTCGATTTCGACATTGATAGTATTGTGTATTTTCAGCGATTTTGATAGAATTATTTTTCTTCGAGCGACTTTGATAGAATTTCAGAGAGGAGAAAAAGTTGAAGATAAAACAAACAAACGAGAAAGCAATACGTACTTTTTGTGTGTTCTTCTTATCTTAAATGTAATTTTTCTGAATGTTCGTGAACTCTAGAACTCTGAAGGATGATCGATGGATATTTAATTAGATTTCATTCGAGTGTTCTAATTAAATTTTCGTTTACTACAATCGTTTTACTTCTTATCAGACTCTATGAAAGAAGTACTTCTCATGATAAGCGACGGAATAAAAAAGTTAATTGAGCGCGTGAAACTTTCGATACTATATCGATAAAATGTAATTTTTTTCTCGCAGTATGTGTCTTTACTCGATGATTAAAAATTGACCGTGTCTGTCGGACAATATCTTATCAGTTACGATCAAATGATAATTTGTGATTATAGAAAGACATTATATATATATAAACTAAAGTTACGTTACCCCTACATTATCTCTTTAATGAAAAGGCTACGTTTTCAAGGATATGCAGTTGATATGGCTAATGTATTCGTGTATTATTAATTATCTTATTACAGATATCATATTATCACGAATAAATTTTTCATACATGTATAAAGTATGCATTTATTAATGAAAGATAAAAAATGTTGGGAAAAACGAAATGTATTATTAATAAGCAGCAGATTCTTATCATGTTTTTATTAAAAATTATTTCTTTGAATTATATAAAATCTTTCGCGAAATTTTTCATGAATTAGTTGAAAATTACAAAATATTATATTTCACTCGTAATATCTCGTTCATATTTTTCTCAGCGCATCTATGTTCTACGGAAGTAAATCCAGCGATTATTTCAATTTTCTATAGGGTATTGTCAATAGCTGACGCAGTTTCTCAGAGAATCGTTTCACATTACAGCAAAAAAGAATTAAATTAAATTTTTCGTCTATATACGTGTGTGACATATATCGCGCGTTTCATGTTACTGGCGTGTGATTACGGTGCCATTCGTCATGTTGATTGCTTTATTTATTTGAATTTGATGTATAAAAGTTGAGATGATTAAAGGGCACTCAAGGCAACATTAAAGTGACACAGTCATTGCATATATACGCGTGACAGCTATTAGTCCATGGAATTTTCCAACAATTCAAACAATTCAAACTTTGCTGGAACGTTAAATTGAATGAACTTTTCGAGAAACAAAATCGGATTATGCTCCACGAGCGGAAGAATCTGCAAGGAGTTGAAAATAACAATATTTACAACGTGAAAAGAATAAAAAAAATTTAATCATATCTGTGCGACGGATAGTAAAACTGTGATATCAAATGAACCTAAAGTCGCATTATGTCTAATTTGACACGACGTATTATGTTGCCATGTGTTTGAAATAAGTTATGCGAAAATAAATGTATTTTGAGACACTATGTATTCGGTGAAATGTTCCATATTTGTTTACTAGCTTTGAAGATGCCTCAAAGCATCGTACTAAATTCGGTGGGATGTGAACTTTAAGCTCTCCAGATCGCTCACGGTAGCGCCTTGCGGCTGTAAAACCACTGTGTCGCGTGATCCATGCGAGGAATATTGCTCTATGAATGTTAATTTTCTGTTACATGGTAACGAAGATATCAAGTATACGGAATTATAATTTAATATTTTAATTTGATAATATTTAATTTTAATTTAAAATTTATTTTGTAGGTGCAACGAGAAAGAAAGAGAAAGAAAGAGAGAAAGCTAGAAATAAGAAGCGGCAGAAACTCTAGTTCCTCCGATAAGAAGGTAAGAAGATTTTTGTATATTATGCAATATATATCTCTAAATATAAACAAATAGCATTTAATAAGAGAGAACGTTATAGATACAGCTACATCAGCGGCAGACGAATATATCTCTCGGAGACGTGGAAACATGAGCACGGCGCCATCATTCTTTCAAATATGTATGTACATAATAAATATAGTACGAATTCTATAACACTGCGAGCGAAATGATTTTTACTAAATTTTTAAATAAGTGAAAATAAACACCAGCGTTGAATTGCACGAAAATTTATTTAGCCATTGAAACTATGACGTAATAAAAGTTTAGATGTATAGGAAATAATATTAATGCTCAATTATACTACGAGAAGATCATAGGAATAAACATAAAAAAAACACTTATTAACGATCAAACAGTGATCATTTATTTTCGAACTTTTGCCCTGCTATGCGAATAATTTTGATAAAATGTAGAATTATAGGGCAGCCAATAAGAGAGCATTCAATAAGAACGTATCGACCGATGTAAAAATAACTGATACCATAGATTCTTCTTTCGAGTTTACACATTCGATATAGAGATAAACTTCCTCTGCTTGCCCGAAGAAGTAATACAAAGTACACAAAACTGTAATATATGCAGATGCATTTGTGTATTATGCAAAATAAATGCGGGCGGTGTTTGTTCAACTATAGTACAACTAACTGTAATGAAACGATTATCGCTGCGAATGATCTCTTTTTTTTACGCGTGACTTTTACACACGCAATTTACGTAGTAAATTTTCCGATTTGTGCTGAATTACGAAATAATTGAAAACGGAAAACGAATCGTTATTTTATCATCGATTTCAGTTAACGCGTTGATGACCGTGGGATAAAAATTAATTCATTCACAGACACATCAGATATTTTACGTCACAAAATTAAAGTCGCAGGTAAAAATTAGAAATTTAGATATGCAACTCGCATGCATAAATTTTGTCTCAAGCCAAATTAATCAGTCGAATCGAACGTGGACTGCATGTGTAATGTTATGATATAAAATTGTTACGGATGATAATTTCTCATTTTACATAACAATTTTGCGTTGCATGAAAAGCGAGTATTCTCGGCATATCTTTAATATTAATCATGCCGCATTTATATATCAACATTGAACAATTCATGGCAAAGTTTAATGTCTGACCTGAGATTTTCAATGGAAATTTTGAGATGGTGAAAAGTAGACATGCATATTTAAAACGCTGAATTAAACTCGCATAAGTAAACAGTTTTTTTCTGCCCAATCCTTGATGGTGATATATATTCATGTTGCGTAATATAATACTACGCCTTGTTATGTACTTGCTCAGACATGTGTAGTTTATTTCGGGAAACTTATTTAATGACGACAAGCCGATATTGTTTTTAATGAATCTTTAGGCAATCTTTTTTTTTCAAATATAAAATTTTTACCGTCTTGCAAAAATATTTTGACTTCTCTGGCAAATATTTAATTTTTGCTTTTATTGATTAATTTTAATGACAAACTATTGTTTATTTCTGAGCTATCACAAGCAGTTAATCGCTTTTATTATAATATGTTAACAATAATGATGAGATAATTAAACGAATTTAAGATATACAAGCGGCTGCGGTCTATTATTACGGATCGCTGAACAACATCGCGATATTAATTTGCGGTTTGCTGAATCATTAAGTGTACATATTTGTATCTAACAACGAGATCATTTATGAAACGATTCCAACATCTATCAAATGGCATGCAAACTACCAATAAATGATTCGCTCGTATCTTTATTTAATTGCGCAGTCGAGTATTGCGTGTTGTCGATCCGTTCTTCAATCGTCTCACCCAACGCAGCTCAATCCGAGCCGATAAATAAATTGTTTATTATCATTGCAAATTAAAAATCACGCCACGGATAAAGGGAGATACTTCACGCGGAAACTCACATAGCATCTTCAACACCCTCCTGGACGATCTGCCAGAATGTCTGCAGTTTTTCATCGACTCGGTTCTGCCCGGGACAGTCATGTTTGACTTCCTGAGCTTGAGGCCGATCAGCGCGTAGAGAAACGTGATGAGGCACATCGGCAACACAAAAAACAGGAATGTGGATAGTTCGAATGAGTGATCGATGATGATCCTCTTGACCGTGCACATGACCATGTCGGGGTGGTTGCTGTGCTGGACCACGCCGAATTGCAACGCCTGCGGTAGCGCGCACGCCACGGCCATCAGCCATATCACGAAGATCAGCTTGATCACGCGTGACAGATTTGACAGAGTCTGCGAGAGAAACGGATGACAGATCGCCACGTATCTCTCGACGGTGAAGGCGGCGATGGTGAGCACGGACGCGTTCACCGATGTCTCCGAGGCGAGGCCGCGTAGCACGCAGAAATCTTCGCCGAAGATGTACGGGTATTTGCACCAGACCATGTACATCTCCGCCGGCAGACCCGACACGAGTAGCAACAGGTCGGACATGGCCAGACTGAAGAGATAATAGTTGGTTGCAGTGTGCATGGACTTGTTGCGCGCGATCACGATGCACGTGCTAACGTTGCCGACGATGCCCGTGAGAAAGATAAGCGCGTAGATTATGGTCACTGGTATCACCACATATAGGGAATCCCGATATGGACCGAATGGCATGACGGAGAAATCAGACGTGTCGTTAAATAAGTATTGCTCCGATAACGCCAGGCCATCATTGTAGCTGGCCTTTGTGTAGGTGCCGTTTGAGAAGTTCGATGATACAGTGGGGGCCATCATGATCCCGATTATACGACGCGCACGAAAATACCTCCGTTCTTTGACATTTTCGGACCCCGAGTTCTTTCCCGACAGTTTGCGACGAAATTGATGCGAACTTTTTTCGTCTTTTTCGTCGACGGCTAGTTGGTCTCATACGAAGTAGATAAATGGAATTTTCATTGTTTTCATGCGCCGTTAGGTTCTAGCACTTCTTCTTCTTCTTCTTCTTTAGTGATAAAAGTTCTTAAGTTTTCCTCTATTTTCTCCTTATTTTGACCGCAGGATACATTGGCCTCTCACAAATAACAAGAGTGAGAGAAACTTGATCCCTGTTTGATTCAACTCCTGAATCAATCTACCGAAAAGAGGGTTGCTGAAGGAAATCACATATAGATTCCTCTTATATGTCAAAATTAGATTTCCTGGACCTCGCGTCTTTCGAAAGTTTGTTTTTCGACCGATAACTCGCGTTACCACTTATTTCATTATCGAAGCGATCACTTATTTCATTATTCAAGATCGCGAGGTGCTTCACGTAACTCGTTCGAAAACAAAAACAGAAACGCCATAGCGAAGTTTTTATTAAATATCACTTTTACCGTTTAATTTTTGCATCGACGAAACTTCTTTTTATTCGGACTTCTCATGCATGCGCGCGATCACGTGGTAGTCTCACTGGGGGAGAATTTCGCTTGTATCTTCATCGTGTTTGTTTTCCTCGGGCTGGGGGAGAGTTCGTTCACACTCTCGAGGAGCGGATAGTCTACCTGCCGCTACGGACGCTGGTCGAATCACGACTGCCGACGCCGCGACGCGCCGAAGGACGCCGGCTGTTCCTCCATCCGGCAAGTTCAGCGCTGGCGCGCCGATACGATGCCTTTAGATATCACTCAAGAATCGGTAAGATTCCCCGTTTTTACGTATATTTTCTTTTGACAATGCGAACAATGACTAGCTCCCCTCTTTTTTTTCCTTTTTTTTTTTTATAGCCGGCAGCTGTATAGCTAGGCTTATAGATCGGCCACGCTCGTTTTTCTTTTACGTTTATTTGCGGCCGAAATATTGTACGAGTTTGCAATGTCATCGCACATCCCTCCGGATTGGATTATATTTATATATTTATTTAGTAGCTGACATGTAAGTGTCCGCTCTCGCCATCTCGTCGTTCTCATTTTTTTTTCTTATAAAACTTATCTTTACCTTCTTATCACGCTATGCATTTATATCTCTATGATTTAGCTTTAAGAGGGAAAAATATCAAACTAAATATGCAAATATGTCAATTTTAAATTTTAGTTTCAACAAGGAAATATCTTTTCTGTTGGACGTTGAAAATTTAAAGAGCAAATGATTTTAGATATTTTTATATTACAGCAATAAACCTCTTGAGTGAGAGCGTAATTAATCTGTCATTTAGAAATGTTAACGTATTAATTAAACTCGATAAACTCGAAATATCAATAATTCCTATGGGAATTATTATTGGGAATAATCTTTGCTAGAAAAGTATAATTTTCTTGTCTCGACGAATTAATCTGATTCCCTGATTTTGGAGTTTTGCTTTTGCAAACCAAGAAATATTAACGAGTTCATACAAGTACTTTTTCATAATATATTTATGATTTATATTATATATTTCCTTTATTCTAATTTTTACACCTTTTTATATTTTTTTGTATTTTGTTAAAAGTTTTATTCACTCTTTGGATCATGAAACATTTCAATATATATTATAGTTTTATCGTTATATATATACTTTTATACATATATTTAATTACAGGAAAATACAAGTATCGCTGCAAGCATAAAAATAAATAAAGCTCGAGTTTAATCATATTTTTGGAAATGTATAGAAAGTAGCGACAATTGTCTCTAATATCGAATGACAAAACAATCGGTAGGTGGAATCATTCACAATTGCATGCACTTCTGTGCACGCCTCGCGTGCGCCTGGTTGTAATTTAAAACCGCATAAACTCAATGGAAATTCAAATCGCGCAAGACTCTTGAGTGAGAGCGTAATTAATCTGTCATTTAGAAATGTTAACGTATTAATTAAACTCGATAAACTCGAAATATCAATAATTCCTATGGGAATTATTATTGGGAATAATCTTTGCTAGAAAAGTATAATTTTCTTGTCTCGACGAATTAATCTGATTCCCTGATTTTGGAGTTTTGCTTTTGCAAACCAAGAAATATTAACGAGTTCACACAAGTACTTTTTCATAATATATTTATGATTTATATTATATATTTCCTTTATTCTAATTTTTACACCTTTTTATATTTGTAATTTGTTAAAAGTTTTATTCACTCTTTGGATCATGAAACATTTCGATATATATTATAGTTTTATCGTTATATATATACTTTTATACATATATTTAATTACAGGAAAATACAAGTATCGCTGCAAGCATAAAAATAAATAAAGCTCGAGTTTAATCATATTTTTGGAAATGTATAGAAAGTAGCGACAATTGTCTCTAATATCGAATGACAAAACAATCGGTAGGTGGAATCATTCACAATTGCATGCACTTCTGTGCACGCCTCGCGTGCGCCTGGTTGTAATTTAAAACCGCATAAACTCAATGGAAATTCAAATCGCGCAAGAGGCGATATTAATGCGTAAAGCGTTTGTCTTGCGTGCAAAATTTAATTATCTACGTTTTATCAAGCTGAAATTTAAAGGAGAACTTATTTTCACGCGCGTTGAAAAACGAATCAACGCAAAATTGCTCCTTGATCACGCACTTGTCACCCTTAAACGGATACGTAATTAATTTATCTCTCTTAAATTAATTTGCGAATATTATTAGATTACCGAACTTGTTATTACGCATCGAAATAGACTATCATCCTTCGTATTCGTCTCGATAATAGTGTCACGGGGTGCGGAGCGATTTGTACTCGAGGACGATAACGTTATCGAGGCAAACTGAAGAGCTATATCATTCCCCGGTGTGCTTTCACAATATTTTGCTCGCGACCACGAGAATGAAGCCCGTCGAGGATACTCGTGCGTTTAATGCAACACGACCACCTCTCTGCCGAGCCGATGGCTCGCTTCGTTTGAAGCATCAACCTCCGAGACCCTATCATTTACTCCACTTCGTTTCTTTTGTCTTTATTCTCATTGCCAATTACACTCCTCGTTTCCACCAACGGTTCCTGCTCTCAAGTGTCGACTGTTTACGTCGGCTTTAACGTTCGCAAACGTATAGACGTTGTTATGCTTGTCCTAGATTACCGTGTCGCGATGCACTTGAATACATCCTGTCGAGTGCAAAGTCGACTGCAAATAATAGCGCATGGCATGAAGAATGACAAGCGAACATTGAGTTGTGTGCGCGTGCGTGTCAATTTATTATACCAATGAACTTTACCAAGACATTAGCCTGTATATTATCCCATCTTGTTAATTAATATTCGCGCAACCATAGACAAGCGTTCGTACCGCGCGCTGTCATCCCTTGTCTTTGTCTTTGTTGTAATCTCGTCTTGAATGCGAAGTCCGGTTTATCCATATTACCTCACGGTTCGTAGCTATACAAATAAATAGTATTCAGTATTTAATCGTCGCGACATAGATCGAGTACATGGAAGAAGAGACGAATTAATCTTGGAGGACTCCGCAAGTGAAAATTGTATATATATATATATATATAAATATAAAATAATTATAATTAAATAATTATCTTTTTCATGCATAATTCATTTAGTTTATATTAAAAAAAGCCGCAGGTGGAATGTCTTTAAAATCACATCTCGCTTAAGGGAAAATCATTTTCTTCCAAAAGATCCAATTATGCTCGACGAAAATGTCTCCGAGGGAGACATGAACATCTTACAATACATTAACAAATGTTATGTTCTCGGAAATGAATTTACAATAGAATCTTTCTGATTTGCATCTTATTCAATGAGACGTAATTAGAGCATTAAACGTACTTATTGTTTGGAAATGAATTAAAAAATATAATTATATATATTTTTTAATTTATTATCTAAGTTAATCCTAAATATCTATTTTTGTTATATATTACTATAAAAGGAAGAAAATCGTGATAGTATTTCTTATTTGCATGCAAATCAGTGTAAAGAGACATTATACATATATAATATACGAGAAATACAAAGTTATATACGTATCTCTACAGGATACTCTGTCGCATTATGTGATAGAAAATTATCTCAACGATATTGCATTTCATGCCTCCAACATATGCATGCGGAATTGCAATATTCGAGATTACGAATAAATGTCATTATTATCTTGGTGCTCCGATGACACAAATTGCTTAGTTTTCTTTGCAGTGTATAAATAAAAATTATTACATATAAATTACTGTATTTATTCCACAGAGAATAATACGGTAAATAATAAATAACCATTCGTCGAAATTATTAAATAAAGTCGCTTAAAAATTAAACCATTTTATTGTTAATCACGTGTTGTAATTAGTTGATCGGTACGCTATCGATATTTTTCTATTATAAATTTTCTTAATTTAAGATTATTTATAAACACGGCGATTGTAATTATCACAAAAAAATTTGCATCGTTCAATTAATGTATTTATAGTAATTGGATATATTAATTTCATTATATTCAGCAATTAGAATGTGTCCCAGTGAAGTTTTTCTTTCTTCGGAGAGTCAGGAAAATTATTAGTTGAAGAAATTATCTTATTTCCGCTTTAAAGGTATAATTATTTTGTACAGATGAACACTCCACCCATAATCTGCGTTATCAATTACCAGTATACATGATATTGCCTAATAAAGTTCAAATGTACGTAACGTGCTGACACGGTAATGTGGTATGTAACATATGATACGGATCCGATGTACCTCAGAAGCACAAAAGTAATACCTGTTAATATGATATGTTCCCGGATTAATAAGTAGAATTATAATTTTGTATAATACAACTTTAATAATTATAAATAGAATAATTTCCATTGTGTACAGTTGCACACAAAACATTTCTGGCTTTTCTTGCGTGTAGAATATATTCCCTTCTTCTTTATTAAAGGTTTGAATGGTTTATTCGCAATTTTAACACATAACGTAATGAGCTCATTATATAAATGATAATATAAAACACGACCTTATTATATGAAATAATATAAATAGTTTTCAAAATAATATTTGAAACATATAAAAAAACTTCTATGAAAAGATGTTCTCTCTGAGCTTGAAGATTCGGTAAATGCGATATGCGTGTAGCAAACTTCTTGACTCAACTCAAATCGAAGTTGTCTTGAATTCCTAAAAATTTTCAGAAACAAAGATATTAAATCTTTGTAGTCTTTCGAATTCCTTTTAAATATATATTTTCAGAATTTTTCTGTAAAAGTATATTTTACTGTAATATTTTACTGTAATATTTTACTAACTTGTAATATTTTACTGTAAAATTCGAGAAATAAGATTCAATAAAATTTGATGAAATTCAAGAAGGTATATGAAATAATACACAATAATATATTAATTATTAAATTAATCAATGTTTTTACGGAAACAATTACTTTCTGTAATCAAGCTCGCGAAAATAATTTCAAATTTTATCTTACACTCAATTATGCGCATATCATGTGTAGTACATATTAATCATTCTATATAGAAAGATTCTAATAATATCACGTGACATTATTGAAAAAAGAAATACCACAATTATTTTATATATGAGCTTCCGTATATACACACACAAAGAGGCGTAATAATATTTTAAAAAAGATATATTCGCTCGTTCATATCCGCCATTTAATCAAAATAGAATATCTATTTACACATACGTCAATTACATGACGAAATTGATTCGATAGTAAATTAAGCGTAATGATTTCCTTATCGGCTAAGAAAGCACATGGGACGGTAAGGTATCATGTGGTTATCCATAATAACGTTTATGGATGTTGTGTAGTGCAGGAACTTCCACCTGTAAACATCATGATGAATAAAAGCAAATAAATGTATGCAATAAGCGATTATTTTATATTAACGCAAAATATAATAATAATACATTTTTATGACAATAAATTTAGTATATTAAAATATAAAATTGTAGAACGCAAATATGTATTTTTGCTTATCTTAATATGTATATATTATTTAATATATATATTGTAAAGAGACAATATATGTAAGAGAGAGACAGAGATCAGATGTATTTAACATGTTTTATGTTAACTTACTTGAAAATGATTGGTGACACCATAGTAAGGATACACGCCACCAAGGATATAACGGTAGTAACCGTTATGCTTAATGCGATATTCGCCCGGTTTAACGTCCTGTGGGATTTCCCATGTAATGGTCACTTGACTCGATCCCAATATCACGGAAGTTCTAGTCCATTGAAATCTAAAAGCATACATATACCCGATTGCGATTTAATACGATAAAAAATCAAAATTTTGTAGTTAAAAGAAATAAAATAATATTTTTTGTTTCAATTTAGAACATTTAATAATTATTATCGTATATGTCAGAATGATTTTTTATAAAATATGATATAATATACGTACTTGGTCTCCCAATCAGCGTCTGTGGCTACTGGCAACCAAACTTCATCGTCTTCTAATCGTTCCACAGTTAAGAAAGTGCTATCCGTCATTAAATTATTACGCGGATGCCCGGAGACCTAGAATACAGATAATGGAATTATCATTACATCTGATTGAATAATTATTTCATACTAATCTATTATTTCTGTTTCAGATATAATCAATAAGAGAGGATTTCGGCATTTGTACATCGCAACTACGTCACGACATACGCGAGTTAATTTGGAATAAAATCTCAAAGTGATGTGTTTTACCGCGGCTGATGCTGAAGAACGAGACAAGTTTTCTCGAATGATAAATAAAGTACGAAGGCAGAATAATTCTAAAATGACCTCGCACGAATCGCGTAAGTTACGGAGCTGTGATTTATTTGTGTCTGCTTTCACGATGCATCTCGCGCTTCCATCGCCGGAAATTATAGCCAGAAGGTAATTTACGATTACTTAATCCGTTCGCACACCGCGTCACCGAAGGCAACCTATTTTCCGAGCGTTACGCGAGCGAGCGCGCGGGAAAACGTCGCGTCGCTTTTTATCGCGTGACTCAATCGCGATCCGGTAAAAATGCGGATCTGCCATGATTAACGTCAAATGACGATTTCCGCCGATAAAAAACGTGACAATCGTTCTCCATTCATCCATCAAGTAAAAAAAATATAGTTAGAAAATATCCGGTATTTCTTTAACGTATAAAATATTAATATAGAAATAATTTTTTTTTTTTTTTCCATAAAATTTAGGACAAATATATTCGTAATATATACATATATGAGAGAAAGAAAGAGAAAGCCAGCATTTATATATTTAGATAATTACTAACTAGTTGAGAGATTAATAAATGCCATAATAATTTAAAAATTATTAAATAATAATTTGGAGTTATTATTTACAGAATTGTCAAGTAATGAAATAATTATATTCAACATTACATACAAATTTGCATTAATTTGTGGTAGATCGAAATCATTTGGCATATGTCTATTTATTAGTTTCTGCTAGTATGTAAGCATGACATAGCTTTGAGGGATAAAGAAGATAAGCAAAAAGAACAGACAAGCAAACGGCCTTCTGTATGGTTTTCTTTTGTTCGAATTTTTGTCATTATGTCTCATGTCATGTATGTAATATCGTGTTAGCAGTCGTTTGGTTCCTGTCAATCTCGGAAAATTCCGTGACAGAGAGAGAGTGAGAAAATCCCGATAAATATTTATGGTTTTATGATTTTTATATTTATAATTATTTATCCTTCCGTTCTGATCATTAATTTTAATTTGAAATTTGATTGCAACAACAAATATTGTATATGGCAAATTTTAAAATTCCAATGTAATCTTTATATATTTATAATCATGCTGAAGATGGATCAAAAAACGGTCCAAATCGTACATTTTTAATGCATGTGTTATTTGTTAATAAAATTTAATAATAATATGTTTACACACCAATACCCGTGCCTTGGCTCTTAGCTCTGCCAGTTTTCCTACTTTATTGCCCGATAAATATATTAATATCTTTTTTCAATATAAAAGTAATTTAAAAATACTCCAAAACGCGACTATATTGAAATTCTTTCGACAATAATATCGATTTGCAATACTGAATTTGCATGAAAAGTTGAAATATCCTAGCTGAAATATCTAAAATAACACGATTTAATTTACATTATCGCGGACTCGCAAATTTTCCTATTGTCGCAGCGACCTTGGATAACGGCATTAATTATTCACACGCGATTCAAAATGTGCTGCGTTATATCAAAGGTTCCTTGCGGTATTTACAAACAGTGCGCGCAAGTCGCATAGTAATCGGTCTATTTCGTAGCGTGCCATCGTTCAACGGGTCGTGAAACGTCATACCGTTATTTTCGAAGTGGAATTGCATGTATGCATTTTATGCAACCTATCAACCTATTCGAATTCAATTAGATGGCATGCCAGATAATATCTTTATACGACGTTGATACGAATTTCCGAGACGTATAGTCATCCCTTGTCGATTTTTCTATTATCGGAAGAACAGATGGCGATTTTAATTAAAAAACGTGAAAATTTTTTTCAAGCAGTTTTTTGGGATAAAAATCGCAGCGTAAAAATCTGAAAAAGAGATACTTACAAAGATTGCCGTAACCGTGTCACCTGGCAAAACGAATTTCGATGGCTGTTGGATCACATCGCCGAAGTTACGTCCCCATCTCGGAGTGTCATACAACACGGGGGGTACGAGAGTAATCAGATTGCTTTGCAGCAATTTCGAAGCTGGTGGTCCCGGTGAAACAGATTTTTTCTACAATACCAAGTTTGATGAATAATAGTGTATGTCCAATATCAATCTTACAACTCCATAAATATCAGCGAGTCCGATAACATAAAAAATAGTTTTCCGATGCAATAATATCGTGACGATAAAAATTGGTCGTTAAATCGTTTCTGAGACAGATATTGATATTTTTATATACATATATATACACACATATATATATACATATATATATATATATATATATATATATATATATAAACGTTATTTACTCACTTGAATAGCTGCTTGTACCAGCTCCTGGTATTGTCTCAAATAGATTGTAAGCGTATGCGGGCCATATATCGTTGATGCGCCTTCGTACCTCTGTATCTGAAAGTTAATAATTCAACAATTATATTATGCATTATGCATTAGAATGCGCTCCGCGAAGAAATAAGTTCGCGCGTCGGAATGCAATAAGAATCGTCAAATCGAGTTTTCTTCCTAATGATTTTACGCGTTACTTATTTTACCGCTTATATCACAAAAAAAAGCTGAATAAAGTTGGAAAATTTTACAAGAATTGTAAAAAATCGTCGTAGTAAATTTCGACGCTCTCCACGCGCCGGAAATTCTCAAAGTGATCTCGATGCTTTTAGTAGTGCTTTAGTAATAACAATGAGAATTTTACTTGATATTCCTCGGGCGTTGTTACGTAATCGCTGTAAGTATTGCAGAGCCCTGCGACTATTACGGATGTTTCGTCGGACGCATCATTCATGACTTTTTTGATAGTCTCTCGCAATCTTCTTCCGGACATTGTCGTGAATTCAGCGGGTACTCCGGCGATGACGACGTTTCCAATTATGGCTACTTGAGTCGAAACGATATTCGGCTGCCATTGATAGGGTAGCTTCATCTACAATTCAAGAGAGTTGATATTTACATTTTTTTTTTCGCGAATCATTATCCGTCGAGATGCGATAATTCATGTTGGATGTTATTGTCAGTATTTTTCTCTTCTTACACGGTATCTATGAGAAGAATCTGACACCTATCTGAGACGCACAGTGAAATCTCACATATCTAATTGCATACCAATGACTATGCTAATTATACACTATAACGAATTTGGAATCACAATGAAAAATACACTTTGTAAAAAAAAAAAAAAAGAGGCTTACCCGTCCGGTGGCTAGCAAAATAGGTTTCGCGCCCTGGCAGCGAATATCGTCTTTCGTCGGGGAGGCCAGAAAGTTTCGTACGGTATTCCAGAAAGGATTTGACGTTGTTGTCCCCTGCTCAAAAGAGAACGAACCTGGTCCGTCGGTGGTGCCAGCTGCGAAACTGTAGCCCATTGCAGGCGTGCAGCCGTGAACCTGTTAAAAAGCCTGAATAGATCCCGCCATTGTATCGATAATAATTCTCTTTCAGGCAGCGATATTATGAACGGCAACCGTTATTTACCTCCTCGAGCTTGCCCGTTGTCTCGTTGTAGAATTCCGCGGACTGTTCCGGCATATTAACGTATTGGTGAACCACTCGCACTGGTCCGGCCACTTCCATTGCTTTGTCGCTTCTCCATAATTTCTGCAAAAGAAAGGAGATTTTCCGTATGATCGAGATATACCGCGGATTTTTTATTCCATCAAGGTACTTTTATAGATGCGCCATGAGTGTAAGAAAAATCCTTTATATTTATACATTTCCGCGATTACGTGGAAAATATGAAGGCGAAATTTGATTATAGACGATCGCGAAGAAGATAGATAAGGGAAGTGTATACTCATGTCTGTTATAAAAATTCTCACGGTTTTCCAGCTTATCTCATGAGGAAAGCTGCTGACGTGAATATATGCGAAGGTTTTATATATGAATCGATCAATAGATTGATAGATTTGAAAGTAACAAAAAGCAATATCGTAATAAGAAGCCGACTTGGCGGACTCGCATGTGGTTGCGATTGTCGTGAGATTAGTGCTTATCTATAATTATGGTTATTAGATTTCTATATAAAAGCGAGACATTGTATAATCCATCATATTATTTATTTTTCTGTATTTATATCTGCGTGTGTGACTCGTAAATCTGTTTTATTGAATTTTCCATATAAATTAAGGAAATTGGATATTACGTTGTCCCAAAAACGAGATATTATATAATTCGTTATTATTATTAACTTACTGTAATTAAATAGTTATTTCAGCAAACAATTTGTAGATAAAATGGAATGTATCAAATTAATTAACTAATAAGTTAATTACGCCTTTTAAAGATTATGTATTTCAGTAGCTGTTTTTTTTTTTTTAACTATATAAAACACAAAACTGGATGTTGTTTGAAAATGTTGCAGATTATTATAAATTCCATGAATAACATATTCGTGTTACAAGATGATAAGAAATATTCTGCACACATGTATTTTTAATTGTAATTAATATTTAAATGTAATTAAATTGTCATATACAATATAATACATATGTGAAAACATTATCTTTTTATGAAAAATTTTTTAATGGAAAGTATTTGAAAAAATGAATAGAACACACACACACACACACACACACAAACACACTAAACTCTGTATTTTTATTAAAAATTTAATAATAGAAAGTAATCAAAAGAATGAATAGATGACACATACATACTCTAACACACATTTTACATTACACACTTATTGTATACGAAAGTAAAAAAAAATTATTAATATATTAACAATATAATAATATAACATAACATTCTCAATTTTTCAGCAAAAATCATACATCATCACATTCTAAAGATTCTAAACCCATTAACCGCGCAGCTCTGAAAGAAATTAAAAAAAGTTAAGAAGACTGTCGAGAGAAAAATCGATTCGCAGTTGACGCGAGGAATCTCGACGACGGAAAATAAGAAATGCGATTACGTTGGAATACAAAAAGGCAGCGGGAAAGTAAACCGAGACGTAAGTTTCGAAATGAAAAAGAAAAAAAGAAACATTGCTACGACCATAATATATCGCGCGAAATGCAGTCACTCAGCTACGCACGCATGCACGTACGCGTGAAACGCATCCGTATTCTCGAGGTAGATAGGTATAGCTTGGCTTATACACAGCGTCTTCCCCATAGGCAGCTGTGGAAACTATTTCTATATCTGCTTTGTGATGCTAATACCTCACGAAACTGACGATGGCTCCGCCAGTCCTGCACCCGGTCACGCTTAACGAGCATGCGAATATGTATGTTAATTATCACGGCGGCTTGCCGCGCATCTCCCAGCTTCTGTATTACGAGCGAAAGCACGCTGCGACGTAGCTCCGTTCGTCCATACCACCGAGCGAGCCATTCTCGCCGGCATGAATACGCCTGAATGCGTCTTTACCTGTGCCCTGATTGCCCGCTTTTGCCCGGGCGCGGTTTAGGTTTAATAATTTGTTTACTCGCTCAGCTGTTGCGTTGCTGATTCGGATATCTTATTACGACCTTTGAACGAATATTTTAAAGCGTCTTTCTCGTGGTATATACGCTGGATATTGAAGCCGACCATCGCGGGTGTTTAAGTCGTTCTTTGATAGCGCTTTCATACTGAAGTGGTTAATTTAAAGTTAATTTAAAGAACTTCAAAAAACACGTATATTTATTTTTCACTTGAAATGTACATATTTTTGTGTAATTGGGAACGAATGTTATACATGGAACGCATTTCTTCATCTACGGTTAATCTCAATTAAAGCTGCAAATAATTGAAATTTAAAATCTTTGTTAAATTCAGGTGGAAATTACAGCTGACATTGCCAAGTGAAAGTTTAATTTTTTTTTCATTTTTCTCTGCCTTGTATATATTCGAAAACGCGCGAATCGAGAATCGACGAATGATCCTGGTACATATATAACACCCTGACAGATGTCTTTACTATGTCGTGATCGTGGTCGTCGTCGTTGTTATTGTCGTCGTCGTCGTTGTCGTCAGAGAGAAAGTTAGCGGCGGAAAGCGGTTGCGTACGCGAAGAGATACGACGCGAGATATATCGGCCGCGCGAGAGAGGAAATTCGATGACGAATGATGTCCGTTGATACCAGACACACGGATGCTGCGTCCGCGAACGCGCACAGATATAACTGCGCTATATATAGCTTTCCCACCTTTCGGGCATCATCGTTTTGTCCATTTCACCTCGATGTCACGAACAGCAGATTAATACGACACGACGATACACCGCGAGATAAAAGGCCGTATATCCCATCAAGCCTGACGTTACGATAGTATCGTTAGCCGACCGCATACATATCGGTACGAATCCTTCGATAAACGGCGCTTAATTAATTTTAACAACGCGCGAAACGACTCGAACACATGATATGACACGTGGTGAGCTTTGACTAAAACGAGAAACTACTATAATCAATCATCGTAATATCGAAGTTGGCCTTTATTTATACGCGTCTGTACGCAGGCTGACGGTCAATATCCTTGTCGAGCCTCTCGCGCGACGAATTAGAATATCGATTAAGCTTCGGGATTTGGTATTTAACGAATCGGCTCCATGTGGACGCGCAACAATAAGAGCACCGACGATGAGAAAGCGCCATGGGAACACTTCGACTCGAAAGATTCCGTTGATTTTAATCAAAGGTTTTTCCTATTTGCATAAATGGAGATTATACATTCGGTTAGGGCGTCCGACAATCCCTCCGTATCGATCGCGACATTTAAAGCGTCTTACAATAAGTGTTGTTCAAATACGCGATTCGTTATCAAAACGTGATAACTCATTGTACTAAAATAAAAAATTTAAAAAATGAAGACTTGAAACACACAATTGTAATTATTGGGTATATAATTGCGTAAGTAATTAAATCAGTATTACACGAGTAAAATTAAACGGAGTTTATTACTTAACAAGTCCATGAAAGTTTAATTACGATATTTCGTCAGCACGATTTTAATCCTATTTTAATAACTTTCTTTCAACTTGAAGGAGCTCTTGAAACTTGAGAGATGAATGTAACAGCGCGCAATAAAATCGAATCGTTTGGAGAAAGCGAGTTACAACAAATGTGCGCCGAATTACATGGAATAGGTATTTTATTTATTATAGAAGTTAAGATATATCTCGCGTAATTTTGCATAAATTTAGAGCGTTTCTTCGATTTTTCAGAAGAATTTTTTCTTGAGAAATATGAGTTTTATAATATCATTCATCACGTAATATACGTCTAAAGGATGGTTAAGTATTTAAATTAATTGTAATAAATTATATATATAGACAAAAATAATTGAATTATAATATTATAATTTCAGATTACAAATATTTTTTTTAAAACGGGGACGTGCGAATATATATTTATAATTTTAATTTACGTATTACATACAATTTTATTTATTGATAAATTATTAAATGATGCAGTAAATAACAATGCTAATCATACATATAAATAACTATCAATATGTTAAAATAATTAATCCAAAAATAAGGGGTTATATATATTATCACAGAGGGAACTTTCACGACATGCGTAGCTTAGAATCGCGCGCGTAAATCGATATTACGTTATTAAGCACTAGATAGTATCCTTTTACTTGGGCAACATGTCAACGTTACATCGCATGGGCGCATTTGCAAGTGCCACATATACATGCAATCAAGAATACATATAGAGCTTAATCAAACGTTATACATATAAAGAATGCATTAAAATAGATCCGGCGCTATATAATTAAGTTAACGAACTTTTCAAGCGCACGGATTTTTCAGAGTTTATGAAAGAAAGCTATAGTTGCTGTTCGATAGCTTTTTGCATATAAGGAGTATAATTACGATGTTATTTCATTTGAGCCACATGCGTTACCAAACATGTAAATATATACACAATAATTATGTGTAATTAAAAAAAAAACCTATTTTTTTAAATTCTTTTAGCACACTGAGTTATCACGTTTTGATAGTAACTCGCGTATTTGAGCAACACCTCTTTTACATATTGTAATTGCCGTGAGTTTATATCGCAATCGAGATTTCTCGTAATAAATTTTACTGTAGAATAAATTTATAAATAGAACACGAAACAGAATCAGATATTTAAATCCGCTTTGAGGCAACAATTAAAAATTAAATCAGCTTGAAATAACTTGCATCCGTGTGTGTTGCTGCGAAAATGTGATGATAACATAGAGAATTTCGAATGCATGCAATACAGTCTGCATATAATAATTTCAAATAAATATTTAATTTGTTTAAAACCGATTATATATTTAAGCTTGAAAAAAAATTCTTTGTTTCGCAGAGTCCCTTGAGATACTTTCACTTTACGTAAAAATGAAAAGTGCTTGAAGCTTAATTCTATTTCCTAATAATTTTGAGCGGCAAAGAAATATATCAAGCGCGATTTTAAATGCATTTTCGGTGTAACTACTATAGTAGTGTAAAGCATACAGCATGATATTGCTTTTTAATGTAGAAAATGCATGGCTTTTTTTATCTCGTGAAAGCTACGTTGATTCGACCAATTCTCCCTTCGATGCCACGCAGATGATAAGAAGTCTCAAGGGGATCCATTAACTTATATAGGACAAAGAATAGCGATATCTGATGATCTATATGTCTG